CTAATCAATGTTGGAAAATGTGGCGGCTTTTTTATTTTCAAATGAAAGGGGAAAATTGGAGGGGAACAACTTGCTTGCGCTTGTTGTCCTAACATTTTTTCGTCTGGGATTGTAGCCTCCTACGCAGACGCTCGCCACGCAAACTCCCCCCCCCAACCTCTCCCCAACAGGAGGCCACGCTGCCTCAGGCCATCTTTCTCTACGTGTACAGTCCACGCTTCGTGTCACAGAGCATGACCAGCAAATGAGAGTCAGTCGTTGATGCAAAGTGTAAGGGATGCGCAAATGGTCAACTTTGATTCCCAAACATCAAGGGACTAGACAAGCGAACGATGGATGCTTTAAAGGACCCAGAACTAATAATTATGAGCTTCTTTTCATGCTTTCAGCCTCGCCAACTGGTGGCCCCTGACCTGTCTCAAGTGTTTATGCCGCATTAAATGGCTTTGAAGCTTCTTTTCTTTTGTGGTGTAGATTTTCAAGAAGACGATTAGGGTACTGTAGCTGCTATTTTTAGATAATTTAAGACAAACTTTGAGCCATCTTGTAGAAGTAAACACAAGTGTTCTTGCACTCGTGAGGAAAACGATCACAACAACGCAGACAGGAAATCAAAAGTTATATTAATCTTATTAAACGGTCCAAGCTTCTCGATTAGTCGATCACAAAGCAAGTCACGTTCCTTGTACATGATTCGCCTTGGACAGACGTCAGAAAACAGTTAAAACAATAGCCGTGTGCGTACGTAACTTGATCGAAAGCGGGGCTAAATCCACCTTTGGTCCACGTAGATGTTTCAGTGTTACTAGTTGAATTGCTTTCAAGAAAAACGCTGCTGTAATATTAAGAATAGTGGATATATATAATTTTTACATGGTGCTAATATTATACATGTATTCACAAGGGCTTTACATCAAATCAACGAGATAAATTATTAACTAAAGCTAAACCTGAAATGAATAAACACTTTAAAATATGCCCAAAAAGGATAAGACGGCGAGGAAAACAAATATCTATTAAAACTATAAAATGTAATAGCTGTGTCTGAAGACTAAACATGCCCAGGATTTATTTTTTCATCATCAATTAAAAACGATCCCTAATTTAAAACTAAATGGTAGCCGTAAAGAAGTTCTACTGAACCTCTGAGCAGTGGTTATTTTCACGGGACGTTTAGGGCTATTATCTTCGACTGAGTTTAGCTAAAACTACAATTGCAGTACACATAGGGTTGCCTTCTAAAATATAAAAATGTGAGGAAAACTGTTTTTATAAAGCCGGACAAAACAAACCAAAATAAACGATATGTATTCAGTTCTCCCGCGATTATGTTGCCATAACAAAGATGACAAAGGTAGCAAAATTTAAATACAAACTTATCTTGTCTATCCGTTTGTCTATATTTCCTAACCTTGCTAGATCCTAATCTAGAGACAATTTAATTCCTTAACCAAACAGCAGATTCAACATTGCAGGAAAGAAACCCCCGCTTCAGAGTCTACAAATGAAACTGAAAACAGATATTATATTTATTATTTTGTTTTTTTATATAAATATTTTAACCATATGTACGGTGCCAATAGCTACAATAAAGAAGGCAGTGGTATTTTTTCGCACCTTTGAAAGAAACGTATCGTCGTGCCCTACAAGTATTAGCGCTGGAGCACTACAAAACAATTTCTTCATCGAGCACAATGAGCTAAAACAAATCAAAAGCGCACTTCTCAAAGCACTTCAATCGATTTTAAGCAATAACGAGTTCCATTTACGCACGCCTGGACGCGGTAATTGACTATTGACCAAATGGTGCGTCAGTGTTACACCTGTCTATGGACTCGAATTTTCTTTCTGTGTTTCTTTGGTTGGCATAATCTTTAATTTTACAGTAGCTTAAACACTGACGGCTTTCGTAGAACAACGTCAAAAGAGACAAAATTCAAGCCTCGCTAATTGCCCATTAGCAATATTTGCCCCGTGAAGTTAAACGGCACACAGCGTTGTTATCAACAATTAACTTTGAATTTCATTCCGTTCGCCTTTTATTTCCAACCGTGAGAATTCAGACGCCTGCGTGCAAAAAATACACGGAAAAAGGTTAGTTCATTATGGACTATAAAATCCGCTAGGCTCACCGCGAAAGAATTCCCTCTTAAGCGGTTCCTTTCATGAGAGTTTAAACGTCATTCACGCTTTCGCCTGCGGCTAGAAACGTCCAATGAAGGACATGCAATAAAACTTGGAACAAAGCCCCTTTGCAAAATTTGGCTTTGTCAGGTGTTGGCAATATTAGAATGGTTTTCTAGTATACCTGAATTTCATGTAACTTTTCGAGTCGAGTTTCACCGGATCGCGGTTTGGGTTAGTTACAGTTTGTTATCTGCGTAGGGATCTTAACACGACATTTCGACCATTAGATCTCCGCCGATATTGACAAGTACTTACGTGACACGGTGACTCAGTTCACTTACAAGGCACCGAGCTCACACAGGAGAGAACGGATCTGGCTAAATCTTTGCTGTTGGTTTTAGAAGCTCAGTCGCCAGATTTGTCGCCATGGTCTTTTCAGAATGGCAAAGGAATGGCTTGGTTAAATAGAAATTAACAAGGCACGGGAAGAAAAACTGGAATGGCCATCAAACGTGTCGTACATCTTGTCTGGCTTCACATGACTTTGCTCGTCGGATGCCGATTACAAGGTACAAGTTGCTCCTTGTGGTCATTTTTTAGTCGAGCTTTGTTCATCTACGCTCTTTCTTAAATATCCCAGGACAACCTTTCTAACTATGTACGCCTCTATTGATCACACCTACAGTACTTTGTTATAAAGAGCAGTTGTAAGTTTATTGTAATTTTGACGCTAAACTGATCATTGTGACAAAGCAGTTCTTTACATCTCTAAACAGCAACGGCGGCGGCACCAGGCCATTCAAGTAGCTGCAACGAAGAGCATAGGAGGTGCGTCAGGGATGCCCAATTTCAAAATTGTAAGTTGCGTATGTTTGATGATGCTTTTAATACAACTGAGAGGAAAACGTACACTGCAGCGATAATTAGCTGGCTTGAGAAGTACAGCTGGGTAAAATCATTACGTATACATCAAAAACGATTCGAAGGGTTTCCGGACGGATAGATGATAAGGCTTCCCCAACTTGATATTATTGGTTTGCATGGGTGTATTTTAAAACTGACTATCAAAATAAATGGAAAAGAAAGTGGTCTCTCTAAGGTAGACTTAGATCAATTAAATGGAAAACCTTGACGCAGCTGGGTAAAGGCAGCGTGGTGGGGGCATTGTTGACAGTTACAGTTGGGTATGCTAATTGCTGCATGTGATGACAGCGATGTTTTGGAAGAAAATGCCCTTCTCACGACATGCTTTGTATAAAACGTCACTTTTATAGCATTGCGAGTTTGTTTAATGTCAAACTTGCGACGGAGAAATCGCCATTCTAGACATCTCCCCATAGATTATACAGATCAAAGTAAATACGAATTGACGAGAATGGATTAAATTTGCATAGGAGCGTATCAGCGGCATCTACTTCAATATAAGGTCACAATCGGAAACTCTTTTATAGAGGGAAAAAGGATTTGGAATACTATGGTACTCATCATTATTCTTTAATAAAATAAATCAACAGCCACGCAGTTGATCCTAAAAATGTCGTCATGCAACAATGTAATTTTAATTCCATTTTTTCTTATTAATTCGACTAAATCCATGGCTCATCAACTTTGTAGCTTTCTAGCGGTTTGCTTACGATTTTAAATATTCAAAAATGGAAATTAGTTAATTTATTAAGGCAGGCAAATGCAATCGTCAAAGTGAAAGCTATTATTACCTTAAATTTCCTGTTTGTTTTAATGCTTGCTGTTTGCGTAATATTTCATTTCATGTCGTGTCGTCTACTTCCTTGACATTGAAAAAATACAGCACAAAACACTCACACAATTCCCGAACCTATTTGAAAACGAGGGAAGATTTCTTTTTACAGTAACAGTGATTTGTGGCCTATTATCTAACCTCTACTGAAAATATCAACCAGGAAAATTTGGATTGGACTAGGAATAACGCCAAAAGGATTTGGAATGTTGTACTAATCCTCAATCGTATATAAACAATACTTCGCCTTGAGCGCGCTTTTCGCGATTTTAGAAGCTCGAATCTTGAAGAGAAATAAAGGGTTTCTGAGAAATGCATTAATAAAGAAATATTTCTAACCTCTGTACAGAGTAAGAGTAGAACAGAAGTCTAACTTTTAGAGGGCCCTGAGGACATGTCTCGTTGTCTATAAATACAGCAAACACAATTAAGTTTGTTGCATTTTGCTGAACATTACAACATAGGGCCCATATGCTGTTCCAGAAAAAATCTACACTCTGCCCACAAACATGGTTGCCACAGACACTCTCTGACTTTTTCCTGATAAGAATAAAATGCCCCAAACCAAATGTATACGAAATGTCAGAAACAGTAGCAGCTTCTGACCTCCCCTTACAGCCCTCCTTTCCACTAACCCATTTATTAAGACTAGGAAGTTTCAACAAATTTTCCTTCTACATTAAAGTGATACTATGATCAAATTTTTTCCCCTTTGATTTTTTAGGTGTATCACAAAGAATTTCATGAAAGAATAAAAATGCCGTTTACCGTTTGCAAATATCTGCATTAGTTCCGGAGATATTTAAGTTTGAAAAATGAGTAAAATATGCAAATGAGATGATTGATGACGTCATACACTCAACCCAATATCAAGTATAAAAATCGAGCTATCTTAGTCAATTTGCAGCGCAGACCATTGAAACTTGGTAGGCTAATAGTTCTACAGGAAACACACCTACGGCTATAAAAAATTCTGTTTCCATGGCAACTCACTCTTTTCCAGTCCCCACCCACTTGATTTCAATATGTTAGTGATTTTCAGCTCGCAAAACATTAAACAAGGCCACAAACTTGAGCTACATGTACCGGTAACATATTTATATGCTTCCTGGATCAAGCATATGAGGCACCATTTGCAAATATCAAAATGGAAAGCCAAAGGTGGCCAGAAATGCCTTTGATATAGGGGAGGTGTGGAACCCAGTATGTTGCCATGGTGACCAAACTGTTGAGCTCATATCATGGAGCACATTCAGTAGAATCTTACTGCAATGAATCAAACATTTCTGATACAAATTGGCTGAGATATCGTTTTTCATCACATTTGACCAAAATTTGGTGGAGTGTATGATGTCATCACTGGGCTAATTTGCATATTTTAAAAACTTGAATATCTCTGGAACAAAAAGAGATATTTGAATATAGTAAACTGCATTTTTCTTCTCACACAGGCTACTTATTTTTGTTTTAAAATGGCTGCGATAGGAAAAATACAATTTTTATCATAGTACCACTTAAAGGAAAAACATTGTTGAGATCACAGTGATGCCAAATGTTTCCTCCAGCCTTCAATGGTAAAAATCAGCCATGTTAAATTTTTAAAATTTTTCCTGATTTTTCTTTAAAATGCCAAAATGCCAATTTGGGTGGCCTCGTGATAGGGGTAACAACAATACAAAACCCTCGTCAGCACAACCAAAAGGTGACCATGGCTGCCTAAGAGAGGTGGTCCATTAAAAAGGACTTTGACTACTGTAGGCCTGCTTAACATCTGGCAACTTAACAGAGGTTTGACTGTTATAATATTGGTTGGGGGAGTAGTGAGGGTTTAACCAATCACAGAGTAGGATATCAATTGTAAAACCAAAGCAAATGTACCAATAACACAACACGTTCTCCCATTGATCAAGTCATTATTTCCCTTTTGCAGGTTCAGATCCCACCTCTGCACCAACAATCTCAAGGGATGACCTAGCTAACATCAGTGTCAAGGTCAATCACACCGCAAAATTTAAGTGTTCACAGACAAAATATGTAGCAAGTATAACTGGACTCCAATTTGACTGGATAAAATGGGACAACACCCCTTTGGCAGTGTCAGAACATGACATTGATTTTGGAAACTTCACTGTTATACTCACAAACTCAAAATACACAATGGAGCCAGGCAAGGAAGAGGAATTAGATTATGTTTCTTACCTTTGGATTCACAACGTCACACAGGATGACATAGGGTTGTACTCTTGTGTTGTATGCAATCAGTATGGAAGAGATTATGGAAATGCCTTTCTTAGTCTGAACACCACTAAAGTTTCAGGTTGGTTGACCATTACATACTCTACCTTTACACATGAATCATACATGAAACACTTGTTGAAAAAGAAGGTGCCTGCAGCTGGATTGCCAACAGGTGATCTTTGGCAACCTGGAAACAATAAAAACTAATCAAAATGACTGTTCCACAAGAAAAAGTGTCAACTGTTTTCTTTCCTGGCCACCTCCTTTACATGTATGTTTGCCAAGGCAGCATTGGGAATTGTGGAAAAACAAAAGCTATGTAGTGTTTCCTGTGGGACAGTAATTAAGTGTTGTGTTGTTTTGTTATCCAAAAGAAATACTCATTGGAAAATCTGAATTTAAGCCCTGAAGGATAGTTGCATGTACTTGGGCATGACTAAAGATTTTTTTCATGTGTAAAAAAGTACCAACATAAGACAGAAAATGACATGAATAAGAGCTAATGAGAATAATGATCCACCGTGATGAAATTATAAAGCCAGATCAAGCTCAACTATCAACACAGTATCATCAGTCCTCATTGTTCATGTCTGCACAGGCAGCATCAACAGAGTATGACAACATAAATTACTGTGAGTTATTTCTTGAACTGCAGCCCTGAAAGATAACTTAATGTTTAAAAAAACATTGGCATTCTGTCCTGGACATCCTAACTTATACCGATACCTGCAATATATTATATTATTCATACTCCTTAGTGCCTCTTTCACGTGGGAGTCACCCAGGGCTATAACCAAAGCTGAAACCAAGCCCTGTTTAAAATGTAAATATATGCTTGATAATTTTGTTGGGTTTCTCATTAAGAATTTAACTAGACCAATGAATTATCTTCTTTGCAGTCATTCCAACAACAACAACAAGTACCTCAACAACACATTCTACAACAAGTAACATGGAGCAACAGCAAATCAAAGTTATTATAGGCTGCATAGGAGCATTTATTGGTGTTGTTGCAGCTATTATAATCTCAGTCCTTATCTGGAAAAGAAAAGAACTCAAGCATCAGGGATTGCCGAGAATTCTACAGGAATCAAACTCACCAATTGAAGAGCGTGACAGTGCACCTCCTCTTCCAGTGAAGTTTCAAAATGGACACTCACTAAGAGATTCACTTATACCCCTAATACACAAGAGAAACAGTAGTTACAGGTCACAGCTATCATCATCAGCATCTGGTGGAACAATCCTGACATTTGCAGATGGTATGCTTAGTTGTTATCATCATTCAGATTTAAAGGGTACAGGGGTACATGTCAACACTAACAGGCATAGCTTGTCTAGTAACATGAGCTCACAAAGTCTTCTGGATATTTCTGAAAATCATTGAATCATAAATGGACCTTGCAGACCTCTTAATTATCAATAACAGGGAAACAACGAGAAATTCCCATTAATCTTCATGCAAATTTTCTTTGAAAAATTTGGCTTTTGAAGCCCTCCTTCTTACTATTTCTAGTGACCTCACTTGGAGTAGGTATGGATAAATCCTAGAACACAATCACGTAAAGGCACAGACTACCTGGAAAATTTGTCAGATGCTTTAACGCAGCACAAACAAAAGTCTCATCAGATGTAAGGCACTCAACTAGGAGAGCAATCTGTCTACTATAACTAGGATTAGCTTGGTCAATGCCCGTCTGGGATATGTGGAAGGAAATTATCAATGATACTTTGAGAGCTAAAACATTGCTATTGTAAAAACTCCTTACAACATGGAAAAACTCCAAGACACTTTTGCAAAATCATTTTCCACACTCTGACACTACCATGTGTTTATGTTTGCAAAACTAACCATTAAAACCATTCACATGTTCTAAATCATACATTTTACGGCTGTACATTTCAGATATATTTGAAGATCCACTAGATGAGAAATGGGAAGTTCCTAGAGAGTCAATTTTTATAAAAGACTTTGCTGGAGAGGGTGCATTTGGTTATGTTGCTAAAGCAGAAGCTTTTGAGTTGCCAGGCAACATTACTACACCTTGCTCTGTTGCTGTTAAGATGTTGAAAGGTAGTGGACATTTCAAACACTGTGATTTAATCTATTTATCATAAAGCTCATATAATGTTAGAGCTCTGATAGTTATCATGCAAAACTAGAATTGCTTCTTTGTCTCACCACTAAGTTGCAATATTGAATATATTACATTGTGTCATTAAAGTCAAAATCTTACCCTCAGACAGTGATTCAAAAGTTCTCACCTCACTTAGTAAGTAACCTCTGACACCTACCAAAAATGATAAAAAGTTGTTCTCACATGTGCTAAAAGCAAAATAAACAGAATCGATACTGATGCAATATCGCAGAAATTATATAAGTGAAGCATATATTACATTTCAGATATTAGGACATAATATTATTATATTGGAAATTTAATTGTTTTTAAGTGGACTTAACCAGCCTCTAAAAACAAATAGTACAAGTAAGCTACGTGTAATAGTTTGATATCAAGTTCTTGCTCGCATTTCTTACAGAAACTGCTACTGATGCTGAATTATCTGATCTGATATCTGAAATGGAAACCATGAAAGAAATAGGAAGACACAAAAACATTGTGAACTTTCTTGGGGCCTGCACAGTGCAAGGTATAAGGCTAATATTAGATTATTATCAGTAATTCATATGAAAACAAAAAATAAAATCAGTTTAAAGGAGGGTTTAGGGGCTCAGCACATTTGCAAGCTACAATGTTAATCATTTCATTTCATAGTTTATAAAACAATCGCAAGCATGCTGATGACTCTTTTTTTTATTTGCAATAACACAAGGGATTACAATGCTTACAAACAGTACACTATTTAGACTACTTACAGCACTAGCTCCATTTACATGATATTGCTCTAATTATTTACACTATTTAAATTACAATATCTACACAACTTACAGTACACTACTAACAACTACAGTGATGACAAGGGGCATGCCCCATGCTGATGACTCTTGTGGGAAATTTGGCTTCAAAAATTTATCAGTCAGTAGTGAAAACATGGCAATATAGGTAAGATTTCTCATTGACATTCCTTTGTAGGTTTGGACTCTAAGTACATTTTTGTTTTTTATCAACATGTACATGTATCTTGGTAATCACAGACTATAATTTTTCATTTGTGAAAGCAGAATGATTACCTCTGTCATGGTAATTGCCACACGGTTACACTGAAGCTAGCAGAATTACTGATGTCCAAAATTCACAGAAGATGTCAATGGTTTTATACAGAAAATTTTTGAATTCAGTGTTGAACATCAAATTCGTTATTTGGCCCAACTGTTTTATTCTGGACAGGACACAGGAGTTATCTATTGGCATCTGATTGGTTTGTAAACAATTGAATTGGGTGAACTACATCACACCATATCTTACACATGCGCTGACTGTGAAACTAGCCCAGTAACATGCACTCGATCACAAACCCAATGGCAGCATGCTTGGTCTTACAATGTCTATTTGAATGTCTATTTTTTGTTAATTGGTTTCAGTCTACTTGAAACAATGTCTGTGTTTTTCATAAAAGTAAATTTGAAACAAATAGTCCCATCTTCATCTAATTAAATAGGGAAAAAAAAGGAGCAGGGAAATAAACTATTTACAGTTCAGTCAATCACCTGTTTAAAGCATAATATGTACCGTAATTTTAAATCAAACAGATTAAATATAAATTGAAGCAACTTGCAAATTTTGCACCTTCAGGTCCATTATTTCTGATTGTTGAGTACTGTCCACATGGAAACTTAAGGGACTTTCTACGTGACAGTCGACCTTCTTCGTTGGATCTTGTGGATGAGAAGGCAGCAAGTCAATTAACTTTTAGGGATCTTTTATCAATGGCATACCAAATTACTAGAGGAATGAGTTACTTATCCTCAAAAAAGGTAAATTTCATTTCCAGCTGCTAAGACAAATAACTACATTTTACTAATGTCACCATCTTATGAAACCCATGAAAACTTCCAAAAACTTTATCAAAACTTCACATAAACCATTATGTTTGGATGATTAAGTAACCTACAGTACATAGCAGGTGCTCAGTTAATAATAATAGGGATCATGTTTCAGTAGTGTGTGAAGGCATGCATGTGTGTTGCACCTCTTCAATGCATGCCTTATTATTATTACTCAACGACTCACCGGCAACACACGCTACTATTTATCCAAACTTAGTATTCATGGATAGTTTGAATAGCCTGGGTAGCAGGTACTTGACAGGAGTAACGGAAGATGGTCTAATGTGGATTGGCACTCTATATTACCACAACACCTGCTACACAGGCTTGAGTGATCACATAACAAGTGATATCTTTTTTAATATTCCATAAAAGGCTTTAGCCAATATAATGACTTCATGAATGAATTCATAGTTACCTCTCAGTTGCCCCTGTAATTATATCAGTACATTGTCATTATGCCAAATTAACATCTATATAAGCCATAATATTCTCCAAGCTCTCACTAAAAGTTAGCAGGGAGTGTTATATTTTGATATTGGAAGTTGAAAATAATTTTTCTGACTTCAATTCAATTTGTTTCCCCCACAACTTGCTAGTGTATTCATAGAGACCTGGCAGCCAGGAATGTTTTAATTGCCGAGGACTTTGTAATAAAAATAGCAGATTTTGGATTAGCAAGAAATCTTGGCAATACAGACTATTACAGAAGAACAACTCATGTAAGTGTTATTAACAGATATAAAAAAGTTGATTATTTAATAATTTCTCTTCATCTGTTCCCATTCAAGCACATTTTATAATTTATTATTACATCAAAAATTAAATATTCCCAACGAAAGACAAATACAATCTGCCCAGGCATATGCATGCACATTGAAGCAGCAAAATAATGATGTCAGTGGAGAATTTCTGGTGCTCTACTGCAGCTAGCCATAACAAATGCAAACTGTGACTTTCATGTGACTTGTGTGACTGTTTTTACAGACGTGTGCTACAGTATAAGATAGTTTGCTTGACGATTCTATGAGCTTCTTGCTTCTAGTATAACTGACAAAGATTTCTTTCATGTGAACATAGTGTGAATAAGTATAGACATGGAGATCACACTATTAGAAAAGGAATAAATAATTGTCATAAGATCTTTCTCTCCCTAAAACACACAAACATCCTTATCAATATACTCAGGAGGCTATTGGGACTGTGCACGATTTCTAGTAATACATGGGAAATATCTTCCTAACATGCTCTTTACTTTAGGGACGTCTTCCAGTAAAGTGGCTTGCAATAGAGGCCTTGTTTGACCAGCAGTACACAGTAAAGACTGATGTGTAAGTCACCATCATAGCTTTACCATAATCTATGCTTTGGTCTAGAGAATATTAAGTTTTATTACAAGTGTGCTGCTGTCTTAGTCCAAAAACATTTGCCTGCATATACACTTGTATATGTAAACCAGCTCTTATTCTGAATTATTAAATTAATATCATGGGTGACAAACTATTCCTTAATTTTGGCACAAAATTTCAGCATTAATTTATAATTTCACATATGAAATTACAAAATTGCCAAGGCAATGTTTTATATGAAAAAATTTTCTCAATACATTAAATAAACAAGGCAAAAACACATGATTGCAAGCTCAATTTGTCTCCCATGATATTACATGTAAAAGGTAATCAATGGTATACTCATGAAATAAGCTAAGAAATACTAATAATTATAAGAAGTTTGATAAAACCATTTTCACTTGTCACCATTTGATTACCCATACTTATTTACCTTTTACAAGATAAACTAGCAAATGGTAATTAAGGCTAATCTGCCTCTATCTGTACTTTAGGTGGTCATTCGGAATTCTGTTGTGGGAGATTTTCACACTTGGTAGGTTGAATAGATCCTGATCCACATCTGATTGTCTCCAATGCTTATTTGATGTTTTTTTATATTTTCTTTGTAATTCAATATTAAGACAATGGTTAATAACAAGCCTAAATTCATTGTCCAGTCATTAGAATGGAGAAGTGTACAGAAAGGTACCAATTATCCGCATCCAAGTGCTTTATGCATTTTTCAAGTATCCTTAGACATGCACTTATGTTACTCAAAAATCCACAAGGATCCAGGTTAGGGGTGGACCATTTGACTATTGAAGAGGGGGTGGATGATTTTGAAAAGCAAATACTCTGCATGCATACTTATACCAAAAAAAAAAACAAAATGCACACAACCACTGCCAAAAAAAATTCATGCAAGTTCAGTGAGCTGAAAAAAAGAATGTCACACAGAGAAAAGATATCTTGCGTACACACATCCCGAGGAAAATTCCTAGTGGATGAAAGGGTAAAAACATTCATGCATATAGATGTACCAAGTGCCCCCTTCCCCCCCCCCCCCCCCCCCCCCCCCCCCCCCNGTTATTGTGTATGAAGTTTTGTGAATGCGTATTTGTTGGAGATGGTGGCACACTGTGAGCAGTTGACACTGATGTGTTTGTATCCTTGGTGCTACAGCTGTATACAGTGGAACCCCAGCGGTCACCTCGTTAATACATTCCCTTCATTATTACAGCCACTTTCTTTGTCCCATGAAACACTTATAGATTTTCTTATGGGAAAACCCTGTCAATTCGGCTACCCTGTTAAGGCCACATTCTGAAATCCCAACCTCTATAATCCTTTATAATTTTGCCCTGATTATATAGCCATTCAAACCAGTTGTGTTCGTATTTCCATTGTTAATACTGTATGCACATGTAGTGATTGAAGTTTCATTTTATTTAAATTATGTCTGCATTCCGGCTGCTCATAAAACAGTTGTTTAGAAGTGCAATCATGATATATATCAGGCCAGACATAAAATTTGACCCTGCCCCATTAATATGGTTGCCCCATTGATACAGCCAAATTTCCACGGTCCATTGGTGACCATATCAACGGGGTTCTACTGTAGTAAACTCAGCAAACAAATCATAGCATGCAAAGTTTGCTGAACATTTTTAAAATGATTATTTTTTTAAAATATATATATATTTATTACTATACCTAATTGATTCTTAACCCTTTTCTACTCTCTTACAGGTGGTACACCTTATCCTGGAATTCCCATGGAAAGATTATTTACAATACTTAAAAATGGATACCGAATGGAATGCCCTATAAACTGTCCCCCTAAAATGTGAGTGGAATGTTAAGACAGTTAAATTAATTCCGGAAAATCTCAAGTATTCTTGAATATTAGCATTTTTCATGCAAAACTTACTACTTGTGATGGTTGAGAAACTGCTTCTTACACCTTACCGCAGCTTACATGTAAATCAGTTCATAACAAGTTTTGATGCAATAAATATGGGAAATGATGTGTTATAGTTATGTCCAAAAGAAAAGTCCCAGCTTAAATATGTAAAGAGAATGACAGTAATATGCTGAAAAATTATTTTCTACTTTACTGGTTTCAGCTATGAAATAATGCTGAAATGTTGGGGTGACACCGCCAAAATCCGTCCTTCATTTTCTGAGCTCTGTGAACAGCTAGATGAGATACTTTCAACAGAAGCAGCTCAGGTATGATTTTTTAATAAAACAAATATATGGAAAGACTTCAGCCAGGGCAACTGGAGAGTTTTCAACTAATCACAATATAAGTTTGGACAATAAGAATCTGAGTTTGTTTGTGATCTCACCAATCATGTTGGAGTAGTAATGTAGAGTAGCTGTGTTGTATTCTAAGTTTTGTGAGTAGATTTATTGTAATGTAAGGTATGTAACTGGCTGTATTGTCTGCAAATAAAAGCTTATTATTTTAAAAAAATCCACAGCTAACAATTGCTCCACTTGAACATGATTGGTGAGATCAATGTGCCCAAGTATTACAAACAAATTTCATGGAAGTTCACTTTGTTCTCACATGGAAACAAAAATAAAAAGTTTGTAGATAGAAGGTCTTTAAAAAAAATCCACTTTCCAACCAGCCCCTTTCCCTCTTCTTGGCTACTCAATATACTTGGTATCTTTAAATCTAAGATATATACATCGAAAAAAAACCACTGAGAAGATACAAAATTTTTATCTACAGGAATACGTTGAGATCTTATCAAAGTCAGTTGACTGTCTGGCAGATGTTGACATGGAGTCTGACAAAACCACTGAAAGTGGAAGCAATCCAGAACAAGCAAAATCAAATCTGCAGCCCATCAACTAGGTCCTAATCAAATGCATAGGGTTTGTCTTGGGAACTTCCAAACATGAGCCAGCTAGTGTTTAATCACACACTAAGATCAGTCAGAGGAGGAAGTTGCCCTTCTGGGCCAGCCCACAAGCAAAAGACCAGCACTGATATAGCATCAGTCCAGAGAGTATGTTTGGAAGACTCTTTGGGTTGATTTTCCTGTACAACACAAATTACATGTATCAACTCAAGTCAACATACATGTATTTATCCACCAAAGGGATGGACAAAAGAACCAATTTATCCAGGTGTGCAACCATATTAAGAAGCCTCCCTTAACAAATGTCACCAACTCATACTGAAGCAATGTGTAGTGCCTTAAATTAACTTCAGTTTAAACTAAAGGAACCTAAAGCTCGCCCAAATTATCAATGTCTCATTCTTAAA